GAAATGATGTTTTGCCTCTTAATAGAAAATGTAAATTATGTATCGATTTAGTACCGAAATTACGCTATACCACGTAATTTATTAAAGTTACCTTCCTATCATCTTAAAGCTTCCTCTGAACATGTAGATCCTGATAGTTTATATTTAATATTATGCAGTTCATGTTGTATTGCGGCAACAATGGAAGATCAATAATTTACGAAAATAGAGATCAAATTAGCTTAATACGGAGTTTACTATTTTTGGTCGCAAAACAATCACCGGTTATTTTTGATTATTTATTTTGCATATAAATATAAATTACAATTTTATCGATTTACTTTCAAATACAATTTGTTTCGTTTGGATTAAAAAGATGTGAATTTTAAAAATTTAAGATTCTTTAATAATAATTAACAATTATTCTTTATAATTAACAATTGTAATTGTTTGAAATTAGTTGATTGTAATTATTTGCAAATGTTTAATAATTGTAACTGTTTGCAATTAGTTAATAATTGTAACTATTTGCAAATAGTTAATAATTGCAACTATTTGTAACTATATGCAGAAAATTCTTTTTTTTTCGTTTTTCTTTTCTCTTTTTTCCCGTATCTCTCGAATCAAAGTTAATCGATCTCTTCGATTTGAACATTTTATCCCTGGAAGCTACAGGATCGGTATTATCAAAGTGAAGTAGATAGATCTTGGTAGTATGTAGTCTGGTCTGAATGTATCTCGAGTCATCTGGATCACCTCGGTGAGACAAAGCTCATAAATTCTCGTGCAGGAAAGACGATAGTTTTTTTTTGTCTTCGAAAAAAGTCTCCGAGACTTTAAAAAAAATTTTTAAGAATAAATGCAATTTTCTATCATTTTATTTAAAATTGCATAAAAAATAATTGAAATTCTGCCTTAAGCTTTTGTTGTTTATAAAAATTTAATTGAATTCTTGCAACGAATTTTATTAAACAATTTTTTTGAAGAATTGAATTTTATTTGTAAAAATAATTGAATTCCAGAGAAAAATAATATTATTTATTATGAAAATAATTAATTTCTTGTGAAGAATTTTATTCAAATTTTTTTAAATAATAATTGAATTTCTCAGAATAACAATGAAGAAAATAATTAAATTCCCAAGAAGAAATTTATTAATTTTAAAAATAATTGAAATCCTGCAATGAAAATAATTAAATTCCTCAAAGAAATTTTATTGTTTATGACAATAATTGAATCCCAAAAAAGAATTTTAAAACATTTGGAAATAATTGAATTATTGGAAAGAATTTTATAAAAAAATTTGAATAATTAATTTTTTTCAGAACTATTTATAAATTCTATTTTAAATAATTAAATTTTTGTGAAATTTTTAATATTTCTGAAAATAATTAAATGTTTGCTTAGAATTCTATTAAAACTGTTTTAAAATAATTGAATACTTTTACGAAATTTTATTAAAATAGCGCAGATATTGAAAAACATTGTATTATAATATTAATTGTATTTCTTTGCTATTTTAAATATTCGCGCTCTACTTAAATGAATGTGTCTTTAATAAATGTGTGTGTGTAAGAGTGGGGGTAGGCCCGTAATTCAGTCCGAATTGGGATGCGTTTGAGCGAACATGCTTTGCCGAGGATTCGGAAAGTATTGAATAGTTTTTGCCGAGTAGAAAAAGAGATTATAAGTATAACGTGTGTTTTCTGTGTGTGGCTATCGAGTCGTTTTGTAAAAGAGTAGAGTGTGACTTGTTTTTATAATTATTGAACTAAATATAATTATTTTATTTAAAATAAAAAGAGAGTGTTTTCTTAAATTAATAAAGTCGGATTAATAGAGGATAGTTTTTATAATAATTGAATTGAGGATTTTTTTAAAATGATTGAAATTCTATATAGAATTTTATATAAATTTTTGAAAATATTTGAATTTTGACCATTAAAATATTTTAAAATAATTGAATTCCTGTGGAAAATTTTAATATTTTTGTAAATAATTGAATTCTTCCCAAAAATTAAAAAAAAACATTGTTTTTTAAGTAATTGATTTTTTCGAGAAAGTGAAATTAAATTTTTAAAAATAATTACATTTTTTGAGCAATTCTCCTAAAATTGTATTAAAAATAATTTAAATCCTTTATTTTTTATGAAAATAATTGAATAGTTGCTAAAAATTTTATTAAAATTTTCAAAAATAATTGAATTCCTTGAAGAATTTTATTATTTATGAAAATAATTGAATTATTGCGAAAAATTTAATTAAAATGTTTAAAAAGAATTGAATTTCTGTGAAAAATTTTGTTATTTTTAAAAATATAATTCAATTCTTCATAAGAATTTTATAAACAATAATGTTTAAAATAATTAATTTGTTTCTAAATATAATAAATATTATGAAAATTTTATTTTAAATAATTGAATTCTCGTAAAGAACTTAATTTGTGAAAGTAATTGAATTTTTCGATTAATTAATTTAAAATAATATTAAATATAATTGAAATTCTTCGATGAGTTTTATTATTTATGAAAATAATTGAATTCTTGCTTAAAATTTTATTAGAAAATTTTTTAAAGAATGTAAAAATTGAATTTCTATGAAAAATGCTATTATTAGTGAAAGTAATTGAATTATTGTGAAAAATTGTATAGAAATTTAGTTAAATAAATGATTTTTTCGAAATATTTTTGAAAATGCTATTCGGCATTTTTCTTATTTAGAAATCCTGTTATGGAATCTGATTAATGGGAATTCGGTTATTTCAGTTTAGCTAAAGGGCAATTTGGTTAATTCGCAGATTAAATGACAGCCAATTAACCAAATGAGGTTAGCTAACTATTAAGTTCTTTTACTAACCGGTTAATCGTCAATTTGGTTAAATGACAATTCGGTAATTTAGAAATCTGAATAAACGACTATTTGGAAAAGTAGAATTTTTTGAATTCGGTTAGTAGACAGTTTAGTCATCTAGCAATTCGGCAAATTGTCAATTTAGTCATTTGGTATTCCTCTTAATTTGCAATTTGCTAATTCGATAGTTTGTTTAATCGGCTATTCGGTTAAATGGCAATTTAGTTATCTGGAAATCAGGTTAATTATCAGTTGGGTAATTTGTTAAATTGGACAATCTGGTTATTCAGTTAGCTGATAATTTTTAAATCCTGGGCACCGGCTATTTGGTTAAGAGGCAATTGGGTCATTTGGCAATCTAGTTAATCGTCGATTCAGTTAAATCTAAATCCTGTTATCTGGAAATCTCGTTAAACGCCAATTCGACAATCCGGTTATTCAGTTAAGTGTTTATTTTTGTATCCGGTTTATCGGCTATTTGGTTAAGTGTCAATTGGGTTATTGAGCAATCCGGTTAATCAGTACTTCAGTTAAATAAAAATTTGCTGATTTGCCAATCCGGTTAATTGACATGTTCAGTTAAGTAGTATTTTAGTCATCTGTCAATCTGTTTTATTGTCAATTCGGTTAAGCGTCTTTTTGACAATCTGGTTATTCCGTTAATTGGAAATTTGGTCCGTTGTCAATATGGTGAATCCTCATTTCTGTTAAGCAGCAATTTGACAATTCGGTTATTCAGATAAGTGGCAATTTTTAAGTCCGGTTAATCAGCTATTCGGTCAAGTGTCAATGGGGTCATTTGCCAATCCAGCTAATCGGCAGTTTGGTTAAGTGGAAATTCGGTTAATTGACTATTCGGTTTAGTGGCAATTTAGTCATCTGCCAATCTGGTTAATGGTCACTTGGGCAAAGCGTCAATTTGACAATCTGGTTATTCTGTTAAGTATCAATTCGGTCAGTAGGCAATTTAGTTAATCGTGAATTCTGTTCTGTTCGTGAATTCGACAATTTGGTAATCCGGTTAAGTGTCAATTTGGTTATTTTCCATTCCGGTTAATCCAACAATAAACCAAATGAAATGAAACACATCGAAAAAATCTAAACATAATTTTTACACACGTAGTAAAACCATTGTCACACAGAAACTTGTATTTTAATTAGAGAAAAGATTGTCCAAATGAAAAGTAGAAGAAGGAAAAGTTAAGTCATTTACTTGTTACAAGTGAGTTTCAGCGAAAGAAGAAGAAGAAGAAGAATAAGAAGAAGAAAGTGGAGTAGGCAATAAGAAAAAGGTCTGTGAATGCTTCTATTAAGATATCACATGTACCATGGCAATTTCTCAAGGCGAATTAAAACTTCTTATCTGTTTGAAAGTTACATCGTTCATTATTCAGAAATCTTTGCTCATGTTAATGTGAAAGTCATTTAAGAATAATTATCGCAAATATACGAAACGTAAGATGCAAGTATAACACACCAAGTTTGAAAAGAGTCTCTTTCTCTCTCTCTCTCTCACATACACACCAAAGGTAAAGCATGAAACTGTTAACAGAATTTTGATGGTATGAGTTTGAAAAGGGGATATTCCACATATATATGTATAGCAAAAGGCAGTGATCGAGCGGTTGGGACTTAATGAAACTCTTAAGTGCCGACTATTAATATGGCTTCCGACTCGGTTGGCGAGGGTATATAGCAACGAATTTTCGCGACGGTCGTCGGCAAAAGTAAGGGGAGGGGGGGAAGGAAAATGGAACCAGGACGAGGCAAAAGGGTTCACGATGGAATGTCCCGTTATTTGGCCGACAACTATTATACACATTATTTTGGCAATTATAGAGTTAATATTCACTATTGTAAATCAAACTCTAAATTTCATTCAATCCTTATTCTAAAGCATTATGAAAGCTGCTCTAATTTCTAAACTTGTTTGTATATACTCTAACCCCAGACTCTGTTGGTTTAGTGTTTTTTAATGGACCATAAAAATTAAACAAGCACAATGATTTAGAATGTAGAAAACTTTCTACCTCTCCTTCTATACAATTTTCTATTATTATTTTCTACTTAGAGTGCAAAATATTTCACTTCTTTTATAGTATAACGATTAACCGTTGAATTTCTTCTCAAGTAAAAATAGAAATATTAATAAATATGTTTTTTTATTTCAGATACCAAAACAGGAACAATTAAGGTCACTGTCTTCTCACTGTAAGTCATTTATAGAAATTTCCATCTCATGTTTAATATAGCAACTAGTTAATTATTAATGTACGTACATTCTCTCGTCACGTGTAAATATTTATCAACATCTGAGTTTGGGGTCAGAACAGTCAACAGATTAACAGAATCGAAAAAATCAATTTTTAATTTTTATCTAATGAATTCTTTTTTGTAAACTGGTCACACTATAATTCGTTTAGAAAAAATGAATTCGTTTTCGAAGAGCCGGGGACACTAATCATTATATATGAAAGGTTGCGAAAATTGAAAAGAATTTTCAACAAAGAATTTCACCATTTTTCCAGTGGTTTGTAAATCTACCATTCATCAAGATGAACTATAAATAAAAGTATGCTTGCGCGGCAAATTCAATTTCGGCTTTTTATCCCTATAAAAGCGAGAGGCGGAAACTTGAAAAAAAAGAGAATGGCAAGCACTTTTGCAGGTTGCCCGTAACAACTCGGGAGTGGATTGTAAACTATTCATAAACGTCCGAGAATACTCGTCGCGATAAAGAAATTTCAGTAAATTTTTAGCAAGCTTTATGTGTATGTATATTATATATAAAAGTAAAAGAAATCGTCGTGTGTTGTTCATCTAGCGTTATACGCGATTCCGGTTTTTGATAAAGAAAAAACACGCGTCACTAATATAATGGAAGAGAGAATCCTAAATATGCGCATGAAAATACTATTAAAAGGTATTTTTTTTCATGTTAGTCGGTCTTTTTTCTGGTGGTGCAGACCGTGAAGAGTCATTTTAACTCATTTGATCGTTTACTGGTTCATAAATATGGTACATAGAGAATATATATAGAAGACATCATGGAGGGAATAAAAAATGTGCGCTTGGTTTGCGTTATGACAGGATAAAATTCACGGCTCGATGTACATTCCTATTACACATATCCCTCCCACCCAATAGGCAAATACACATTTCAACATTAAAAGAGAAGTCTTTAGTTAATTTAAGACTTTTTTATTCATGAAATAAAACTGTTACATATGATGTTAACTCTCTCTCTCTCTCTCTCTCTCTCTCTCTCTCTCTCTCTCTCTCTCTCTCTCTCGCCCTGGAAAATGTTCCGCCTCGCTGTTCCGACGTTTTTCAAGAACTAATTTCAACATCCCGTGCGCATTGAATTTATTCTCCAAATAATCTACGAACGTTAAATTCAAATAAAAGTGACCTCTCGCTTCAAAGTTTGTTTGCCATTGCTCTCACTCTCTTTCTCTTGCAAGCTCGTTTATTTTTGGGTTCGTTATTAACATTTCACGTTTCGAGAAATTCTATTCTGTGAAACTTCATTTAAAATGGTCTTTAATAATGATTTGTGGAATTAATGATTAAGTTTCGTAAATGTGAGGAAAAATGTTTTCAAAAAGGAAAGAAAGATAGATTTATTTTTAACTATATTTAAAGTTTATTTGATAAAAAATAATTGAGATTGTGGATGATGGTAATTAATAATATACAAACGAATAGCAAATAAAATTAATTAGGATTGTCAAAAGACCTGATTGCCACTTAGCCGAAAAGTCGATAAACCGGATTTGAAAATTGCCACTTAACCGAATTGTCGAATTGCGGCTTAACAGAATTCACGATTAACCAGATTGCCTGCTGACCAAATTGATACTTAACAGACTAACCAGATTGTCAAATTGACGCTTTGCCGAAGTGACCATTAAAAAGATTGGCAGATGATTAAATTGCCGCTTAACCGAATAGTCAATTAACCGAATTTCCACTTAACTAAATTGCCGATTAGCTGGATTGGCAAATGACCCCATTGACACTTGACCAAATAGCTGATTAACTGGACTTAAAAATTGTCACTTATCTGAATAACCAAATTGGCAAATTGCTGCTTAACAGAAATGAGGATTCACCATATTGACAACGGACCAAATTTCCAATTAACGGAATAACCAGATTGTCAAAAAGACGCTTAACCAAATTGACAATAAATCAGATTGCCAGATGACTAAAATACCACTTAACTGAACATGTCAATTAACCGGATTGGCAAATCAGCAAATTTTTATTTAACTGAAGTACTGATTAACCGGATTGCTCAATAACCAAATTGTCACTAAACCAAATAGCCGATAAACCGGATACAAAAATAAACAGTTAACTGAATAACCGGATTGTCGAATTGGCGTTTAACCAGATTTCCAGATAACAGGATTTAGATTTAACTGAATTGACGATTAACTGGATTGCCAAATGACCCAATTGCCTCTTAACCAAATAGCCGGTGCCCAGGATTTAAAAATTATCAGCTAACTGAATAACCAGATTGTCCAATTTAACAAATTACCCAACTGATAATTAACCAGATTTACAGATAACTAAATTGACATTTAACCGAATAGCCGATTAACCTAACAATCAAATTAGCAAATTGCAAATTAAGAGGATTACCAAATGAGTAAATTGATAATTTGCCGAATTGATAGATGACCAAAGTGTCTACTAACCGAATTCCAAAAATTCTACTTTTCCAAATAGTCGTTTATTCAGATTTCCAAATTACCGAATTGTTATTTAACCAAATTGCCGATTAACCAGATAGTAAAAGAACTTATTAGTTAGCTAACTTGATTTGGTTAATTGGCTGTCACTTAAACTGCGAATTAACCAAATTCCCTTTTAGCTAAATTAAAATATCCGAATTTTTATTAATCGGATACCAGAACCGGATTTCTAAATTAGAAACTTGTCGAATAACCGGACTGACAATTAACCGAATTTCCAATTTATTGATTGCCTAAACTATTGTTAATTCGCACATCCTTTTTATTGAAAAATTGCTTAATTGAATCACCATATAAAAAAACAATTAGTCAAACTAACGGTACAGCAAATCGACAAATAACGGCTTAAGTATAGATAACCGATTGACCCCATTATCATAATCGGGTTAATCGACTATTTGGTTGAGTAGCGAATTTTACAATCCGAATATTTAGCTAAATATCAATTTTTAAATTCGGATTGTCGGCTATTCGGTTAAGTGAAATTTTGGTCATCTGGCAATCGGTTAATTGTCAATTCGATAAAGCGTAAATTTGACTAATCCTCAATTCAGTTAAGCATCAATTTGAGAACTCGGTTATTCAGTTTATTAGCTATTTTTAAATCCGATTTATCAGCTAATTGGTTAAGTGGTAATTCGATCATTTAGGAATCCAGTTAATCATCAATTCTGTTTAGTGGCAATTTGGCAATTCTGATAATCGACTATTAGGTTGAGTGTAAATTTGGCAATCCAATTAATCTTCAAGTTGGTTAAATGGTAATTTAGTAATTCGGTAAATCATCGGTTAAGTAGTAATTTTGTTATTTAGAAAAACTATTAATCGTCAATTTGGTAATGTGGTTAATCTTCAATTCGTTTAAGCAGAAATTTAATTATTTTGCTAATCCGGTTAATCGGCAATTGAATTAAGTGGCAATATCGTTAAGTGTCAATTCAGTTAATCGGAAATTCAGTTAAGTAGTAATTTTCTTATTTAGAAAAATTATTAATTGTCGATTTTGTAATGAGGTTAATTCTTTATTCGTTTAAGCGGAGATTTAATTATTTTGCCAAACCGGTTAATCGGCAATTGAATTTTGTGACAATATCGTTAAGTGTCAATTCGGTGGAGTAGAATTTTGTCAATCTGGTTAATCTGCTATTCGGTTAAGTTGTCAATTATTTGTCAATTTTGTTAAATGTCAATTTTTCAAACTGTGTAACTGGGCCCCAGGGGGTCGTAACTTTAAATGACCCTTGACCTCAAGGTCAAAAAAAGGTAAATTTGACCTAAATTTTTGCAAAACGTAATGAAGAAATAACATTTAAATGTCCGTTAGCCTATAGGTAAAATTTAACCTAAACATTTTGTTGATATAATGCCTAAAAAATATTTTTTTTAAAAATACTTTATCTCTTTATTATAAAATTTTAAAAAAGTATTATTATTTCTAGTTCTTCCATTATTTTTCATTTATTTATCCTTTTGACTGAATTATGACAATTTAACATGTGAATTTTATTTTGAAAATAATTCACAAACAATGTAAATTGCTCATGGCTTTTGTAAAATAATTCAAGACTCCTGTCATTGGTTGAACAGATCAGTGGATTTCGCATGGCATTTACAAGCTGAATAAAATGGTCTGCATTCGATGGGATTCTTAATTAATGACTCTTGGAATCGACCAATCAACGCTTGCGTGAACTCTTGATGAATGTTGATTAGTGATTACAGAGAAAGAGCTCTGCGGCATTTTGTGTGTATTGGTTCGGATGAATGACTCTGAAATCGGGCGTGAATAAACCCTCTCTCCCTCTGAATTTATAGGTGGCATGAGGTGGTAGAGGAGGAGGGATAGGGGTTGAAAAGAGGGTGGTATATAGGTAATATAAAACGAAGTAGAGGAAATGACGGGTTCGTTTCCGGTGTTTCCGGTTTATCTCTCCCTCTGCCACTGTGTCTACATATGTATATTTCTTATACGCATTTCGCTTTAGTCGTGATATAAATCATCGTTGGTACTGATTCTCAGGCTCATAGACATCATTTCAATGCAAGTCGATAGCAGTAGGTAATCATGCGAAATGGGAAATGTCGATTCGTCGTTGAATCCGACACATATTGATTCGCAATCGTTTCAGAGACTTGAATTTCACTATTGTACATTTGCTAGTTGTCTTTTTTTTTTTTTGAATCTAGGTCCGCTTTTGTTTTCTTTTTCTCATCTCTTTTTTTTACGTTTCTCTACACTTAGAATTCGAATTACTAATGTAAAAAAAAATTGTTTCAAATTTTATAAACATTTTTTTAGTTTTTAGATACCACTGGAATTTGGGAGAAAATTTAAGATTTTATTTTCGTCTTGTAATTTTCTATTTTTACACTTAGTGATAAAATTTTTTTTTAAGGAAAGTTATTGTACATAAAGTCGAGTTAATCAGGGAGAATGGCTTTTCT